CTCCTGTATGACCAACGAGTTCTTCTTTTAGGATTTTAACAAAGCCGTGTAAAACACCGTCAAGGTCGTCAAAATTGTTAAGAAGCTCGTCCTTCTATCACTTATCCTGGGCAGTTTGATCCCATTGACGTAGCCAGTCAAGAGCATCACCTTACAGGGTTGCTGCAATGTAATCGAGGAAACGATCTCTTTTCCAAATGGTTTTTTTGATTATTAATGAGAATCGTTAGAGATTGTGCCCACTCGTCGATGGTCTTGAGATGATCTTTGTACAGGACGTGAGTAAGATCAAGATAAGTACCATTTTGCGAAATAAGGTACTTGTTGAGATCATCCTTACGGGCGAACGTCGGATAGGTCATGTACTCATAATTATAGGAGGTAGAAGGTTGTTTACCTTCGGCTTTGGAGGAAGATTCAACAGGTGTGCCGGAGGCTTGAATATGTGTTTCTTCCGCCGGGAACATCTCTTCTGTTGTAGGAAAATCACCGTAAAATGATTCATCTAAAATAGTGTCCGATACTCGTTTTCTTCTGTTGGGAGAAGATGATTCGGGCTGTGGTTCAGCTTGAATTTATTCATTAATAGACTCTGAGTCGTCAGAACCGTTAAATTCTTTGACATCAGATTGATCAGTTAGAACATTTATTTGTTCTTTCAGTATCACTATCGGAGATATTGAGTTGATATCCGAAGTGTATAAGGAGATCTTCATGTTGTAGAGAAGTTTCTCGTATCTGATTGATGATGTGGTTGCTTTCATCAATAGATAGTTGAGGACTGACATACATCTGTCGTAGACAATTGATATAGTCGACAATGTTGTCAAATTCCTATTTATTGTAATTCGATAATGGTTTATCATGAATTACTTTGATATCCTCAGTACCATAATAAAGGTTTTTTTACCTTTATTTTGGTAAGAGAAGTAGATTGTTTATCTACTTTAGGATCTGGAGGATCTAATTTTGGATCAGGAGGATAAAGATCAGATAACTTTACTTTTTTGAGTTTTTCTAAATCAATAGTCATCTGGTGAATTTGATCTTTGAGATCCTGATTGTCAGATAGCTGGATAATTTGTGTTAAAGTATCAAGCTTATCCTTTAAGGAAATCACTCCTTGTTGCAAATCATCAAATGATGTTTCTATTTGAGAATTTGTTGATTCCAGGTTAATCTGGAATGTATCTTTCTATTCATTAACCATGTCAATTAAAAAGTTCATTCCGGCGCCAATCTGGTTAAGATTGAGCGGATCTGAAGTTAGATAGTGTGGTATATGACTATATTTATTAGGGTCTTTACCCACTATATTATAGATACATCCTACAGAGGTAGATTGTGCCATGAGAAACAGTTAATGGTTCTTAAGACCTTTTGATTTCTGTTAGGGTGCCTAAAACCAGAGAATCCTGTTTAAAAGCTTTTGACAGTCGCACAGACATAAACATCTATAGCAGGATAATATGGGCTTTAAACAGTAATCAAACGTATGAGATTTATAACAGTAAACAAAACACAATAATACTGGACTGTAGTATAACTGTATTAAAAACTTACAATGGCGTCCAAGCTCGGTGTTCAAGCTCTGATACCAATTACAACAATATATGCGGAAATGCAGAAGAAGCAGAGAGAATATTTTACAAGGGGGAGAGAGAATGCGGAAAAACAGAATGTAAACTTCAGATGCCGAATGCTTGGTTCAGCTCTGCGTTAAATAGAAAAAGAAAAGTATAAACAGTTGATCGGATAAGATCGAATCTTGCTTTCTACTGTTTTGGAAAGTGGATGGTGACAACTTTCACTGTTGATGAATAGTTTGTCGGCTACTTTCACTGTTGATGAATAGTAAATGTGACATCGCCTTTTGTCGTGTGCTGGATTGTGGTGCAGTCGATTAGTAAGAGGCGTGTCGTTGAGTCATCCTTCCATAGCATTAATGAGATTATGGAATTCATACTCATCAAGTGGAGGAGAGCTTTCAGGACTTTGGGCATGGGTCATATCCCAATCAATGTTGATCTGTTCGACTCCGAGACGGATTTCATCTGGAGCATCCAAGGTATTGCATTGAATTTCTTGAAAAAATTCAACAGCTGTTCTGAGATGATCTGCTGAATAGGATGGATAATCCATAACTAAAAGGAGGCTCGAGAGAATCATCATTCATAACTCGACGAGCTTTGTCTTGAAGGTGAATAAGACTATGAACTGCAAGATCATAGAAGTTAACCCTTTCTGCGATCTGTTCTGAATTCAGAAGCTGGTGGTGTTCAAATTCACTGTCTTCTGTAAGCTTGAGAAGCCAGATTTGGTATGGCTGAAATAATTTTGCCTTTTCACGCCATCCAATGGAACTGGAGATCCGAAAAGTCAAATTTCGACTAAATTTCTAGTGAGATTTTGTTTTGTATATCATGGCTTTGATCATTGCCGGGAATTGTTTCCACGATAGACAATCATGTGAGGAGAAAGTAATTTTGTTAATTACTCCCCAATCAACATGTTCCATTAACTAGTCAAAACCAAGAACAATGAAAAGAGTCATTTTTGGGATGTGTTTCCCATTGTAAATCATGTTAAAATTGTTTATTTCTTCATGATTTTCAAGATAAAAATTCTTGATTGTTATAGGATGGTCTACTGTTTTGGAGAGGACTATTCTAAACAATTCAGGAGGAAAAATGTTTCTTACTTTTTCAAGAATACATATACGATTGATTTTTGCAAACGTATTTTTTGGAAAATTATGCTCTCCAACTATTTGGGCAATTTTGAGAAAACAATTTATATGAGCTAAAGAAAAATCTTTTTCCCAGTCAATTGTGAGACATATTTGGATGCAAAGCTTTTTAAACTCTTCAGTCATGACTGTTTGTTCAGCAATAATTGAAGTAAGATTACTCAGGTGTTGCTTGAATTTCTTATTGCATTCTAATTTATGCATTTTCCATGCATTATTAATTTCATCATAAATATGGTATGTAAGTCCAGGATTATAGAAGTCTTTTACTTATATTGTTTCTTGTCGTTTTGCAAAATTAGCAAAAACGTGTTATGAAGCTGTACCCACATTGCAGAATGCTGTTTGGACTTCTTCAAGTGTCATAAGCTTTAAAACATGACCCATTAAAATTTTTTATTTGGGCATGACAGTCGTGCCATTCTGGATAGATCCCGGGTTGGAATCCTGCAAAGACCACGAACCATTTTTGTGGTTGTAATGGAGTTGGTTCAGGTTGTTGAGCCTTTTTAGCTATTGTAACCCAACCATCTTTGTGAGGTTGTTTACCTCGATCACTCATCTGTGGAAAAAGAAATATCTTTGTTAGATACTTCAGTATAATTCGGCAGATGTGCCGAAGGCTAGAATATGTGTTTCTTCCGCCGGGAGCATCTCTTCTGTTATAGGAAAATCACCGTAAAATGATTCATCTAAAACAGTGTCCGATACTCGTTTTCTTCTGGTGGGAGAAGATGATTCGGGCTGTGGTTCAACTTGAATTTCTTCATCAACAGACTTTGAGTCGTCAGAACCGTTAAATTCTTCGACATCAGATTGATCAGTTAGAACATTTATTTGTTATTCTGATTCAGTATCACTATCGGAGATATTGAGTTGATATCCGAAGTGTGTAAAGAGATTTTCATGTTGTAGAGAAGTTTCTTATATCTGATTGATTATGTGACTGCTTTCATCAATAGATAGTTGAGGACTGACATACATCTGTCGTAGACAATTAATATAGTCGACAATATTGTCAAATTCCTGTTTATTGTAATTCGATGATGGTTTATCATGAATTACTTTGATATCCTCAGTACCATAATAAAGGTTTTTTTACCTTTATTTTGGTAAGAGAAGTAGATTGTTTATCTACTTTATGATCTGGAGGATCTAATTTTGAATCAGGAGGATAAAAATCAGATAACTTTACTTTTTTGAGTTTTTTTAACTCAATAGTCATCTGGTGAAAATGCACAAAATCACCACAGTTCTTCACCATTGTCTCCAGAAGCTGCAAAGTAGATATGCCGCGTAACTAGTGGATTAGAAAGACGTTCTTGAGCAACGGTTTCCTAAATTTTCTAACGGATAAATTTGAATTATCAAGTTATGTTGCAAGGCAAGTGGCGGCAGACGAACAATTTTGCCCTGCCTTTCGCAGAATTCATATAATTAAACTAAATGAATGAATGTAAGTGAAGCTGCAATTTCACTACTAAGAAATTTATGATGTGAAAATCCAGCTTTGAGTTCGAAAGCAGCCACTTTATGCAATATAATACCAAAGGTTAGATCCATCATCAGTCTTCCCCTCCTACCACCAATGTAGGTGGAACCAAACTAGATAATGGCTTTTTAAAGCAACAAATTTTGTTTCCATTTTGTTCATTAACTCTTTATTTCGTTTTTTAACTTACTGATGCCCAGTGACTTCCACTTTCAGAACCAGCCATCTCCCAAACATTTCAAAAAAATAAAATTAATTTTTGTCAGCAATGCCTAACTGTTTGATCAATAGCAATTACCTGCTTGCGAGTTCATTCTCAACGATCCACTAAAGAAAAGGTAACATTTTTAGCATTCAAAGCATTCTTCTCATTATCAATTCGTAGTTGCCAGTGGATTGAATTATTAGCTCACCTTCTCAACATTATCATCCATTTCAATTTCCAATTGTATTTCACACAATAAAACAGGGTCGGTTATAAAGATGATGCAAACAATTTGAATGACCATGAAAACATATACATTCATGATTTTTCGTTTAAAGCAACGAAACTCATCCAATAAATTTACTATTACAGTCATACAATCAGAAATCATATACATGTGCAGTAGCAATCACCACAAAGTTATTAATTTAGACTTGCCATTTTCTAAAAGATGCAGTTTTTATATTCATTTTCAATTGGCACCCATTGTTGAACATTAATGTTTCGGCTAAAATTCTTCCATACTAGCTCTTCTGGGCAATTTGTCAAGCATGTAGCATGCAAGCAAAAATTAGAGTATATATAAGAAACAAACTTATAAAAGAACTAATACAACTGAGAAATGAAGCCACAATGAGCACCACTCACAAACAAAACCAAAATGAGCATGATCCAATTACAAATCGGAGAAGAAAGGGATAGAGAGAGACATGGGGATGGGAGAGAGAACTTTACAGTTATCAGAGGAGAGAAAAAGGGAGAAAAAATTTCAAATATGAGAAAGGAAACTTACTCAAGTCGACGACGGTGGTGGTGGGTTGGGGGGGAGCGATATTCGTATGTAGCAACAATATGACTTCCTACACTTTCCTAATGAAAATAAAATGCTCAAACTACATAGTATTTGAAACATATTTTGATAAAAAATAAATAAGTGAATAAATTTAACTTGAATCTAATTCATCTCTACTGTGGTTTTTGTACTTATCTTTGTCAAAATTACATCTTAATTGTTTACATATAAACTTTGCTCAATTGTTTTTTTCCATTTTTTTTTTTTTTTTTTTGAATTGACAAGAAATATACTAACAAGTCCACTTTTTGTTCCTGAAGAGTTCAATTATCATTTCTCAAAAAAAGTTTGCATAGTGGAATAAAGAATTAATAAAATTATTATACATTTTGGTAGGATGGAATTTAAGGATTCAAATAGGAATACAACAGTGCTAAAATATATATATGTATATATGAATACAACATAAGCAATAGGAAATAATAGATGAGCAGAGGAATTATTGAATAACATGCATTCATTAGATGCATATAGTGCAAGTTTGGGTCTCACGGATGATTCTTAGGATTAGTTTTTTACTTTGTGACCGATATCATATTCCCCAGTGAAAAGGCTTGTTCTACACAAAGAAAGAAAAAAACAGATAATATTAAATGTTCCTAATCTGCAACTATTTCCAAGTGAAACTGTTGCAATTCAAATTTGATAAGTTTTTGTCAATGTTTATATTACATTTCCTTCACTAGTATTAATTACATGCTTTTAATTGAGTTTCTGTTTGATGGATACATAACAAGTGAGACCAACAAAAGAAAAGCCATGGTGCTCACTGTCCCATGCTGGTCAATGTAGAAGCCTTTTTTAATTCAAATCACACAATCACCAAATTTCCAAATTCAAATTATAATTATGTATCTGAAAATACGATAACTACTATGTCATTGCTTAAAGATATGTTTCTTAATTGAACTACCAAACACTCAGCTCACTTTTTAAAATTTGCCTCATCATTTTTCTCATAAGCAATTAATGATGTGAAAATGCAGTTTTGAGTTCGAAAGAAGCCGTTTTATGCAATATAATACCAAAGGTTAGATCCATCATCAGTCTTCCCCTCCTAGCACTAATGTAGGTTGAACCAAACTAGATAATGGTTTTTTAAAGCAACAAAATTTGCTTCCATTTTGTTCATTAACTCTTTGTTTCATTTTTTAACTTACTGATGCCCAGTGATTTCCACTTTCAAAACCAGCCATATCACAAACATTTCAAAACAAAAAATAATAATAATAATTAATTTTTCTAACTTGTTTCATCAATAGCAATTACCTGCTTGTGAGTTCATTGTCAACGATCCACTAATGAAAAGGTAACATTTTTAGAATTCAAAGCATTCTTCTCATTATCAATTCCTAGTTCAACAATTACATTATTCATTTCAATTTTCCATTGTATTTTATATAATTGTAAAGATCATGATGCAAACAATTTTAGTTAACACGAAAACATCAGAATATTCCTAACATACATTCAAATATTAGTGTATATAAAAGAAACAAAATTATAAAACGATCTAATACATCTAAGAAACGAAACCACAATGAGCACCACTCACAAACAAAACCAAAATGAGCATGAACCAATTACAAATCTGAGAAGAGAGAGAGAGAGATGGGAGAGAGAACTTTACAGATATCAGAGGAGAGAGAAAGGGAGAAAGGAAACTTACCCAAGTCGCCGTCGTCGCCGAAACACCGAAATTCTAAATCTGCATATATGATCTCTTTTTTTCCCTCGCACACATATGATCAAACAGAGAAATATATTAAAAATAGAATCCATTGAAGCCAAATAGAGAAAAAGAGAAGCGCCGTACGAAGCAATAATCAGTGAGACTTTATTGAGATATCCACAACCTTCTCGTCGGCAATGGAAGACGATGATGCTTGTTTAGAGACCATCGAAACTCCGTTGGTGTTGTCCTATTTAAGCTCAAGGCCAAGCACATTGAAGGCGCGACCGATGTCGCCGGTACCGTCATCTTAGGTTCACAACAGGCCGTCGTAGGTGAGAGTGTGAGACCCTTTTCTCCATCGATAATTCACTAGGTTTGGAAGACTTCGTCGAGAATTGCATTGATATGTTCGTCTGAACTTGACCCTAGGGTTTATGGAGACGACAAGGACAGCCACGTCTCTACTAAGGCCGTCGTCTCTGTTGGCGTCAAATTGTTGGAAGATTCTCTTCACCTTCTCTGATCTGCTGCCTCAGGTTGTCGTTTTTTGATTTTAGGGCTTTCAATTTTAGGGTTTGGGTTTTTTCAAAAGAGCAGTAGATGAGAGAAGAAGATGATGATGTGAGTGTACAATTGGAGCAAACGGGTGGTTTGAATGGGTATTAAGTGACTAGGATTTGCACTTGTGTGACTGATCAATGTTAAAGGTGTGTTTGGGTTTCATGGTTGCATCTCAAATGAGATGAGGGTGAGACAGGGAGAGCGTGTGTGATGGAGAGAGAACGCCATTCTTGGAGATTCATTAATAGGGTTAAATTCATCTTTTGCAATCTCTGATATTTTTTTTTCTTAAATTGCATTTGAAAGATGAGGGTATATATGACATTTCACACAATTAATATATAAAAATGTAGGCTATGTAAAATGACGGTTTTGTCCCATGCTCACTCCCTTATAATTTCTCTCTCTAAAATGACTCTGCGCTATGGCAACTCGAACAAGGTGGTGATGGTTGTTTTGGGCAAAATAAGGATCAAGTGGGATAATGGGTACACATACAAGGCCAGCCCTTTGGCACCCAAATATGAGTTCTGAGATTCCAAAAAAAAAAGAAGTTGAGGTACTGGTTAGGGAAGCAGAGAAGCAATAGAAATGAACCAGCCAATTTTTTTATTTTTATTTTTTTAATTTCTCTCTCCATTAACCCTCAAATCAAACCCCTCTACCAAAAGCCTTTTTTGGTGTGCTGAAGACAAGGCAATTTTCACAAGTCGAGCACGCCGATTCGGATGCCATTGTTTGCACAAAACGGGTACAGTTTTGAATGGGGTTTCTAGTGGTGTATATGTATGTATTAAATGGGATTTGTAGGATGGTGATGGTTGTGGTGGTGAGTAGAGAGACAGAGTGTATAGATGGTAGTGGTGGGTGGGTGGGTGGATTGCAATGTGTATATAAATAAGACATGAGAGAGGAAGAGAGAAATCGCAAAATCACCAACAGCCACCTGCCTCCTGTATCCACCATCATTAACGGCGTCCTAAGCTCGCCGTCCGTCACCGTCGCCAACAGCCACCAAACGAGAATCGGATCTTCTGTTGTGGGTCCGATCTCTCCGACTTCTTCGAGACTCGCTGTTTTAGTGCTCCGACCCGCAGATTCCCTCCAAACAATGGTCGCTGCCGTGGATCCGCGGTGGCAGGGAAACTCAAACTCGTCGTCCTCCACCTCTTCGTCTCCTGAGCGGTACTTCAACTCCAGCGACATCGGCAGCAAACCTTCTAGCCCAGACAACTCCTTTGTGTCCAATTTTGACCAAAAAGTGGTCAAATAGGCTTATTTGCACCTCTCTCTTTTTTTTCTTTTTCTTTTTTTTTTCTTCTTTTTTTTTCGCGCACAAAACCTTTATTGCAGGGAGGCTTTTTTGCACTTAACCCGACAAATCATTAAAATGATGTCTGAAAGTTAAAATTAAAATTTTTCGCCATATAAGCAAGAGGTGTCATTTTAAATAACCCTACTTTGCACATAATTACAAATTTTAACCAAGCAAATACAAGTCACTACTTGCATGGACACTAGGAGCCACCTGCTGTGCTGAGTGCTAACATGTACTTATTCACCAACTATTTTGGTGTAGAATACTTAACCCATTATCCATATCAAAACTTACAAGTCCAATAAAAAAATGTAATAGAAATGAAATTAAGAGCAACAGATGTAATTTCAATAGGAAAGTGAAATGGAATCATGAACTAAAACCTCAACAAGTGAAGAAAAACCACCAGACACATCATATTGATCTAAAATCCCAAATAGATACAAAAGCAGAGCTTAACCTTTTATTTACAATTTTGATCATCTCCTGTAGTATATTCCTCTCAGCAATTTGTAAATGTACAGAATCACCACAGTTCTTCACCATCGTCACCAGAAGCTGCAAAGTAGATATGCCACGCAACTAGTGGATTAGAAAGACGTTCTTGAGCAACAGTTTCCTAAATTTCCTAACGGATAAATTTGAATTATCAAGTTATGTTGCAAGGCAAGTGGCAGCAGACGAACAATTTTGCCTGCCTTTCGCAGAATTCATATAATTAAACTAAATGAATGTAAGTTAAGCTGCATTTCACTACTCAGAAATTTATGATGTGAAAATGCAGATTTGAGTTCAAAAGCAGCCACTTTATGCAATATAATACCAAAGGTTAGATCCATCATCAGTCTTCCCCTCCTAGCACCAATGTAGGTGGAACCAAACTAGATAATGGTTATTTAAAACAACAAATTTTGCTTCCATTTTGTTCACTAACTCTTTATTTCATTTTTTAACTTACTGATGCCCAGTGACTTCCACTTTCAAAACCAGCCATCTCCCAAACAATTCAAAAATTAAAAAACAAAAATTGTCAGCAATGCTAAACTGTTTCATAGGGGCGGAGGGAGGGGTGGGCCAGCAGGGGCCTGGCCCCCCCAAAAAAAAAAAAAAAAAAAATTTATTAGTATACACAAATATATATATATATATATATATATATATTAGTACACTGGCCCCCCACCCCTCTTGCCTTGCCCTAACCCTCTTTTCTTTACCTTCTCCTCCGCTGAGACTGTTTGTAGGAATTGATGAATGCATTGAATTGGTACACTACTTAGCCTCTTGATCTTCACATTTTCCGATTTCTCTCTTCGTTAGACTCTCGAATCATGATTGATTACCTGGTAATTCCAATTTCCACAGAGAACTCACATCCATTATAATTTATTCTGTTATTTTTTCTTTTTCAATTAATACTTCGATAGTGTTTCTGTTTTACGTAGCCGTTTACTGGCCCGTTTGTTCAATATTTTTCGAATCTTGTTTGGTATACAAATTTTACATAGCTATTTCATCAAAGTCTAGGGCAGTAGGGCGTTGTTCACTTGTTCTTAGCGCACAATCTTAATGTTTGCTTTGTTGAATTCATGTATTTTGCCTCTTATTTGTAGTTAAATGACAGCATTAGTCAGCATATATAGATAAAATGAAGGAGTTTAAATGTTTAATCGGACCCACTGTGGGACTTTGAGATTGTTTTGGACTTGTTTCTTGAATTGATTTATTGTCCACTGTCCACAAATCTTCCTTTATTAAATTATTGTCCACTAACCACTGTCCACAAATTTTGGAAGCAATTTTGTTATTTCTCTTACCAACTTTATTATCCACTGTCCACAAATTTTGGAAGCAATTTTGTTATTTCTCTTACCAATTTCTCGATGGTACTGATGTTTATAACTTTTTACATCTCAAGAGTAAAACTGCACAATATTCCGAGGGAAACTATCACGGACTGACACGAAGGCTTTGAAAATCTTAATTGGTACACACTTTTTTCTTCTAAAACTTATCTTTTCCTATTTTTTCTGAAATTCACTTGAAAATAGTCATGTAAGTGTTGCTATATATACAAATTCTAAGCTCACTTCACAGGCGAACAATTTATTTTTTAGACACTGCACAGATGCACAATTGTGGGTGATAACTTTTTTATATTTTAAATTAGTTGTTTTATATGCAATGAGGGTGCAATATTATTTTTACTCAATTATGCTTATTAGGAATTTAGGATTGGTGGTTTAAATTACAATGTAAAACCCTAGGTATTAAAAGTTTATATTTGAATTACCCTCTTTAGGTACATTGTTATACGATGGTGAAGCCAAAAAGAACTATTGATTGTTTTTTTCAAAAAAATGATGTGCCTTCCGTGGCTTCCGCCTCTAATGTCGATGTTTCGGTTCATGATAACCAGCATCATTCAAAATCTCTAAGAGTTAAACATACAAAAGTTGATCTTACCTTTTTAGAACGTGATCCAGGATTACGTCGTCAAATATGGGATTATCCTGTTGACGAACGTGATGAAGTTCAACGAGCTTATATCAAAGCGAAACCATATCAAATTGTGCTTTCAGTATATTCGCTTTCTGGATCGGAAAAGCATCGTCGTCGATTTTAATCATCTTGGTTTAAATTATTTCCTACCTGGTTAGAGTATTCTCCTTCAAAGGATGCTGCATATTGCTTACCTTGCTTTCTTTTTGGAGCGAAACCAACGGGGCATCCTAGAACCAATGCATTTACTAGTGAAGGATTTCAAAGTTGGAAGAAAGTTAATGATGGCAATAGGTGTGCTTTCTTAAATCATGTGGGAGGAAGTCCATGTTCTGCTCATAGCATTGCTGAGAGAGCATGTAAGGACTTAATTAATCAACCTTGTCATATTGATACAGTGATGGTTAGACAAACTTCTGAACAAGTTTCAAATAATCGATTAAGATTGAAGGTCACAATTGATGTGGTCCGATGGCTTACTTATCAAGCTTGTGCTTTTAGAGGGCATGATGAATCCCTTCAATCAAGTAATCGAGGCAATTTCATTGCAATGGTAAAGGCTTTTGCGTCATATAATGATGATGTCGCTAGAACTGTTCTTGAAAATGCTCCAAAAAATGCCAAGTATACCTCGCCACAAATTCAAAAGGAGATTTTGCATATTGTTTCTAGAAAAGTGAGAAGTAAAATTCGTGAAGATATCGGCGATGCCAAGTTTTGTATTCTTGTTGATGAAGCTCGTGATGAATCTAAAAGAGAGCAAATGGCTCTCGTTTTAAGATACGTTGATAAGGATGGTTTTTTACAAGAACGTTTCTTTGATCTTGTGCATATCAAAGATACAACTTCATTGAATTTAAAAAAGGATCTTTGTGCGGTTCTTTCTCACTATAATCTTGATGTTCACAATCTCCGAGGTCAAGGTTATGATGGTGCTAGCAATATGTGTGGTGAATGGAATGGTTTGCTAGCATTATTTCTTAATGATTGTCCTTATGCATATTATGTGCATTGCTTAGCTCATCGACTACAACTAGCATTAGTTGCCGTATCTAGAGAAGTAATCGTTGTCCATCAATTCTTTTCAAACTTGAACTTCATTATCAATAACATCGGAGCTTCTTGCAAACAAACTGATGAATTACATTCCGCTCAAGTTATGGAAATTGCCCATTTGATAGATCTTACTGAACTTGAAACCAGTCGAGGAGCTAATCAGATTGGTAACTTGCAATGACCTGGAGATACTCGTTGTAGTTTGATAAGGTTATATGGTTCAACATGTTCAGTTCTTAACAACCTCATTGAAGATGGATGTAATTACAAGATCCTGGGAGATGCTGATAATGCTTTTAATACTCTTACATCATTTCAGTTTGTGTTTATTTTGCATTTGATAAAAGATATCATGGGAATCACTAATATCCTTTGTCAAACTTTGCAACAAAAAGATCAAGACATCGTAAATGCTATGCAATTGGTTTCGAGTACAAAACAAATCATTCTAAAATTGATAGAAAATGGTTGGAACAAGTTACTTGATATTGTTAAAACATTTTGTGAGTGCCACAATATTGATGTGCCTGATTTGAGTGTTCCTTATACCAAAAAAATTAAAGGTCAGTCACGTCACCCACAAGAGAATATTACACTTGAGCACCACTATCGGATTGATATATTTTATGGCACAATTGATTCACAATTGCAGGAGTTGAATAACAGATTTAGTGAAAAGGTAATGAAACTTGTTACTCTCAGCTCAGTTTTGGATCCTAGAGATGGTTACAAGTTTTTTAACGTTGAAGACATTTGCACACTTGTAGATAAATTTTATCCTCAAGATTTCACGGACCAAGAGAGGATTATGTTGACATTCCAATTGCAACATTATGAGGTTGAAATGCCTGTTCATTCATATTTGAAAAATATGTCAATGATTTCTAAACTATGTAGAGGATTAGTGGAAACAAAGAAGTCAAAAATCTACTTTTTGATTGATAGGTTGATTCGTCTTGTCTTGACTCTTCCCGTTTCCACGGCAACTACAGAAAGGGCATTTTCAACTATGAAACTTGTCAAAACACAACTGCGCAACAGGATGGAGGATGAGTTTCTTGCAGATTACTTGAGTGTCAGTATTGAAAAAGAAATTGCTCAAACTTTTAGTACAGGTTCAATTATAGATGATTTTTCTTCTCTAAAAGATCGTCGAGCTCAGCTTTTGTAGTAGTTGTTTGGTCTTTCAGGTTTCTTTTTATATTTATCTATGCCATATTTGACTAGATATAGACCAGTATTATTTTGTAAACAAATTGGCCAAATTTTGACTAAATATATTTTTGTATGCATCTAATCGATCATGAAGTACTTTTGACTTAAAATATTATAATATACTCGCCCCCCCCCCCCCCCCCCGCGCGCGACATTGAATCCTGCTTGTGAGTTCATTGTCAACAAACCACTAAAAAAAAGGAAAATTTTTTTACCATTCAAAGCATTCTTCTCATTATCAATTCGCAGTTGCCAGTCGACTAAATTATTAGCTCATCTTCTCAACATTTTCATTCATTTCAATTTTCCATTGTATTCTACACAATAAAACAGGGTCGATTGTAAAGATGATGCAAACAATTTTAATTTACATGAAAAAATATACATTCATGATTTTTCATTTAAAGCAACAAACCTCATCCAATAAATTTACTATTACAGACTTTACAGTCATACACAATCAGAAATCGTAGGCATGTGCAGTAGCAATCACCACAAAGTTATTAATTTAGACTTATCAGTTTCTAAAATATGGAGTTTCTATATTCATTTTCAATTGACCCATCATGTTTCAGCTAAAATTCTTCCATACTAGCTCTTCTGGGCAATTTGTCGAGCATATAGCATGAAGCAAAAATTAGTGTATATATTAGAAACAAAACCACAATGAGCACCACTCGCAAACAAAACCAAAATGATCATGAACCAATTACAAATCTGAGAAGAAAGAGAGAGAGACGTGGGGATGGGAGAGAGAACTTTATAGATATCAGATGAGAGAGAGAAACGAAAACTTACCCAAGTCGCCGTCGTCGCCGATACGGTGGTTACCACCCGTCACATAGATAGAGAGGGGTCTCGAGGTTTCTATGGAATGCAGAGATTGCTGATATTTGTCATATGAGAAGACTGGTATTTGAAACATATTTTGATAAAAATAAAAAAAAAAAAAAAAAAACTCATTTATCCTCTATTCCCATACAGATTTACTTATTTTTTTTTTTTTAATTTTTTTAATTTTTTTTTTTGATAAAAAATATACTCACAATTTGATAAATTCATTTTTTTTTTTTTTTTTTTTTTCTATCTAAAAGTTCAATTATCATTTGTCAAGAAATGTGTGCATACAGGCGGAATAAAGAATTAATAAAATTATTATACATTTTGGTAGGATGGAAAGGTTCAAATATGGATACAACAGTGCTAATATATATATATACAACATAAACAATAGGAAAAAATAAATGATTATTGTATGAAAAATATAATAAAACTTCATATTTTCTTTCCATAGACTTGCATTCCAGTTCCAGCTACTACTGCTTTTCTTTAAGAAGAAATTCACAAAATCATGCAATTATCATTCAAAGGTAATTCATTACACTACATAATTTATATCGAGAATAAAATGTATTATTGAATCCCATTTTTAAAGCTAATTGTATCATATAATTTATTGTAAAAAATAATAATCAAAAGTACAAAAGTAAAATGACAATTGTAACATTCCTATTATCGACAGTTAACCGGAGTTTGATACAAAATATTTTACATAAATATAGGACACAAAATGAACCATGTCAACAAAGAAAAAAGAAAAAAGAAAAAAGAAAGGTTATAAAAGTGATTGTTTATGGTCCATAGATTTGTGTTAAAGTTCACGTGTCAGAGCATTTTCACGGTTTGTTAAAATATTCTTTTGTGTAAAATATACACTGCCATTTATGAAGTGAATTTTTTTTTCCATAAAAGGGTTGTGTATTTTACATAACCATTTTACACTGCCAGATCTTTCTCATTCTATTAAAGAATCAACATATATTAAGTAAGTTTATAAAAGTTACATGAGTCTTGGCAAAATACGTGGTTTATTGTTATTGGGAAATATATTTTTACACAAAATGAATAAAACAACCGTTGGAGATAAAATTAAATAATCTAAATTTTTTTGTGTAAATCCATCATGACACATCAGATTTACACAAAAAAAAATATACACAAAAAAAAATATACACAACGATTGGAGATGTTCTTAGACATTCAGAACTTAATTAAAATAATAATAATATAGGTTAACTTTTATGGTAACTGAAAGTACAAATAATTTTCTTCAATTGTAGAAAGAAACTTTACACTTCCAAAAAATTTTCAACCCCTTTTTCCTCTCATTTCCGTCAATTTATAGACGGTTACAACCACTTAGACGGTTACAACCACTCCTTGGCTGAACTTATCCTCTTCCCTTTTGTTTGGGCTTAACTTCTTTCATCATAATATGAGCTTCTGTAATGACTTTCTGGATCTGGGCCCATTCAGCGAGGACTTTCTCCATCTTGGTTACCCATACCCGACCCGTGGTGTCTTCAGTAACTTTTTCGAGGACAGTTTTTTTGCACTTCTCATGTTAATTAAAAAAATACTTTAATAATTGATCGAGTGATATTTTCTCGATTTTTAAAATAGAATGCAGATGATTTAAGTATTCATATCAGCAAAGTGCGAGGATAATTTTAAGACTCTTGAGAATTTAAAAAATCTTTATGAAAGATCCTAAACTTTAAGGATAATTGTAAAGTGGGAGGGTATTTCTAAAGACAATTAAAAGAGCAATATAATATTATAGATATCACTTTCCTTGCAGAAGCAATTAAAATATGAAAAATGATTTTCAAAAGAAAGTTGTAGACTCTCTTACATATGAAAATTATTAAAAATTTACACTGTAGGGGGAAAAATCCTCCTACCAATCAAAACCAATTGTTATTATTTATACATCATCTTATTTTAATTTGTTCATATTAAAAGGATGTAAAATACTTGTTCGTTAATAGTATTATATTATAATTTTATTATATATTTTCATTTTCATAGGTGTTCGTTTAACTCTACAGCACTGCTTGTCCTATTGGGATACCAATAATATATGCAAGTACCACCTAACCAATGAGACAAAAATTGGCCGATAAATACTTTTGATCTACAGAATGCTATATGTATGGTAATAATGCTTCTTTTATTAGTTAGCAAACTTATATAGTATTTATTTGGAATGCAATTCTCCCATTCGAATTTCATTATTAAATAATTGCTTAATTTACCCATTAAAACTTTTCTTTTTTCTTTTTAATTCACAAAGGTTAAAGAGAATTTAAAGAGAAATATGTTCTTCTATATTTGGTATGCAGTAATGAAATGCCAATCATTCATTTATTTGGTATGCAAAGTGAAAATGGTCATTCCATTACCAATTTACTTTTTTTTTTTAAAAATAAAGTTCCCAAAACACCCTCATACTCTATGTCCAAAAACCACCACCACCACCACCACAACCACCGCTAACTTTCACCATCACCACCATTTCCATTGCCTTCCACCACTGTCACTGCCATCGCTACCATTGTTGCCACCTTCAATCACCACACCGCCTCCACCTCCACTGCCTTTAGCCACTTCCACTGTGGTAACTGCCACCACCAACTTCCACCATTACCACTACCACCGCCATTGCCTTTCACCAGTACCACATTCGACCATCGCTACCATCATTGTTGGCACCACCACTACTGTTACCACTTTCTACCACCACTGCATGTTTCCACCACCATAACTTCTTTCCACCACGATCATATCACCTCCGCTTCCACTACCTTCCACCGTCACCAACTTCCATCACCACCACCACCTTCCACCACTGTCATTGCCACCTCCACCTCCACTTCTACCTTCACCTCCACTTCCACCACTACTGCCACATCCACCACCACTGTCATCACATCCGCTTCCACCACTACTGCCACATCCACCACCACCGCCACCGACTTCCCTCACCACCACCACCTTCTATCATCGCCGCCACCACTTCCACTACCACTGACTTCCACCATAACTACTGCCTTCTACCCCCACCACCACCATTGTAATCTTCCACCACCGTCACCTCCACTGCCTTCCACCACCATCACCTCTACTGCCTTCCACCACCACCACTTACATCACTATCGTCTTCTACCACCATCACACCACTACCTTTCACTATCATCACTTAGCCATTGATGTCTTCCACCATTACCACCACTGCCACCGCCATTACCATTGCCTTCTATAAACACCCTATTGCATTTCACCACCACCGTTGTCACCTTCCAACACCACCACCTACACCACTACCGCTTTCCACCTCCACCACAATCAACCACGGCTGCCATTTTTTGGATATTTCAATTTTAAATTCATTCATTTCTAAATTTTACATTAGTCCATTCTTACATATTCTGTGATACCCCTCGATTCTAGAGCCATGGGTGATCAGGTCCGAGCACAGATCCGAGGGATACCAAATAATTAATATGTAAATAAGCACAGAATACAAATCGAATTAATAAGAAATAAATAATTAAAGGCTGGAAGAATTCTAATTAAAAATCCTTAAAATAATAATGTTAAAATCCATTAATCCAAAACCTCCATTTAAATAACAACTCGGGAATCCATCCTATGGACCCCTAATAATGTTCAAAATTGAAACAGAAACAACTGAAATAAAATTTAAAATCAATCATGGGAAGTAGTCCTACGTAGTCGAAGGAATGAATGTTTCTATTTGCTCTGCACGACCAAGCTCTAACCCTGGAACTGACGAGCACCTGAAAAATAAGAGAGTGGGTCAGGCCCACATGCAAGTCCTATTCTACTCCGATCCATACATAAACCCGATACGCAGATACATTCTAGATAAACTCAACAATATCTAGAGTAGTCCATATATGTATAAGTACACACTATAGGACGCTCACTAGTCCAATAGGTCTGTCTCAGCCTGAGTAGAGATACCATGCAAATCGCACATAATGTGGTCATGTGTACCTAGTCCTACCAGGGAACAACACCTCTATCCAGCTATCCATCCTAGGCGATATACGCACCCTAACCAAGGTCCTGAGACTCAAGCTCATACCA